CTCCTCTCATCAGCGCCTCCCCCACCCCCTCTCTCAGTGGTTCAGCGGTAACTCTGAAGGTCTATAACGCTGAAATTCGGATTTCGATGCCCGTTGTGAGCGGACTACTCAATAACGGACAATCAGGTTATACTCGTAGGTGCCTCGACCTCTGACCCCAGTATTACATCCCCTCCTCATCTCGTATTGTTCGAATATCTCAATATGTCACGAAGAACTGTACGAGGAGTCAAAAACTGAGTTCGAACCGTTGATTCCACTTTACTTGAGACAACGTCAAAATATTTAAATAGTCATAACCTACACATGACATAATTTTAGTCTTAGTGATCAGTTGTAAGAGACACAGCGAGAACCTAATAAACCAACTGCTTCTTGAGTTGTTTTTGTTTGGTTGTAATTAAGCTACAATGCTACAAATGGGGTTATCTATGCTCTGCCCATTACGGGTATCGAATCCCGGTTTCAAGCGTTATAAGTCCGCAGACATACCACCGGGGGAGGGGGGCGTCTAAACAAAGCGAATAAACGTCATACATTTTGTTTTTGATGAACCTATTCACCAGATTTTAGTATCAAAACAATTACATGTTTTTTCTATGTATTTCTCAAAGTGATACAACTTGAATACTCATTCTAGTACCGACTTTTAAGCCCCGATTTTGTCAGTCATCGTTTAATGGCTGATTATCAGTCCCTTCTAAGTTTCAGAGTGTCTATACTCACGAAGACACATACGCATAGAACAGAGAATGTGATAAAACTCGTGCACTCCACGCCTTTCTTCAAAATGGTCCGTAACATTACCTTATATTCCTTTGTTATGGAGATAAAGGCGCGCATGTTCTAATTGTTATTTTGTGTGTCTGACCGATATCTTCGCCTCAAGTTATCTAATCACTTCTGTGAAGTCCAAGTTTGTACACTTCACAAACTTGTCGTGGTCAGTACTTCCTCTTCTGTTCGATCAATAATAAAGAAGACGAGTGTGTGGGATTTGATCAAAAACTCAATTACTATATCGATCAGTGTATATACAGCGTGAATAGTAAAGTTGTACACCATCGTTATATTTCTAAGCCTACCCTGATAAACGATTTTTCTTTTCAAAGTCGTGTTTCTTTAAATGTCTTCTTTTCACTTTTGTTACAATGATTGACCTGGGTGCCACTAACCTTGTAAGCTCACAGTTCAAGGTCAGGACCTTACAAATAGTGGTGGTATATAAATCTTACACACACACACACACACAAATTAAGCAACTTAATTAACAAACATAAATCATTCAACGTTTAAGTATATTGCTCCTGTTAAAACTTCCTAAATTTTATGCCACCCACGTTAACGGATAATACAGTTATGCCAAGGTGAGTTGTTAAAGTCCGTAAGATAATACAGACACGTTAAGAAGCTTGAACTACGAACGATTTAATTCAATTATATAAAACGAAATATATTCTGATTTTCGATTATGGGAAAAAAACAACAACAGAAGTCTAAGTTAAATCATACCTTTTCGCGAACAGGTAATTATCTTGATTCGAGTACTAATGGTTCCCGTAGAAAGTGCAACGAAAGCTCACGTGGCTGGCTCGTAACTTAGGAGGAAGCGGGGTACTTACTTTCAGGACGACCTCATTATCAGGCCCTCGTACCGCCCTCTCACGGGCGGCGCTGCTATGGCAACCTAACGAGCTACACAATTACAAAATAAAACGTCATCGCGCGTGCTGCATCACTGAATTGAACAGACAGTGGTTTTTATTTTTTAAAATACATTTTCGAGGTCAAGACTATAACGTAGACTATAACAAGACTATAACGTAGACTATAACAGCAGAGGTTAAATACGAAACTCCGATTAACAGACTACGCATAAAACCCGATGTTGTTAACCCGCGTTTGTATTTTATCGTATAATTTACAAATTACGAAAGGTAAGTAACTGCCTGTTACTGGTAACGGTTTCGTGCTGATCACAAGCAACCGGCAACCCCATTTAATCGTTGTTACTGGTAACGATTTCATGTTGTTCACTAGCAACCGGCAACCCCCTTTAAACGTTGTTACTGGTAACGGTTTCATGTTGATCACAAGCAACCGGCAACCCCCTTTAATCGTTGTTACTGATAACGGTTTCATGTTGTTCACTAACAACCATCAACCCCTTTTGATCGTTGTTACTGGTAACGGTTTCATGTTGTTCACTAGCAACCGGCAACCCCCTTTAATCGTTGTTACTGGTAACGGTTTCGTGCTAATCACAAGCAACCGTCAACCCCCACATTTTCATAAAAGTACACTTGTTTTAAGTCGAAACAACAGCTTGCAGTCCGACTGAAACGTTTAAAACACAAAACACGCACCTTAATCAATTTTGCTACACGAAACGTTGTCACCTACTTATTACTGTTATGCTAAAATTTCAGGTGTTTATACATGAAAAGGAAGACAACACTGAGGCTAACGGAAAATTATGTTAACCAAGAAAAGGAATTATTCCTTTCTTTCACAGTTGCAACTTTTAACGCCAACAGATGGCGATACATAACATCGCACGTTACCAACACCTTGGTTGTGTTTATCGATATATTTGTGTTCGAATAAACGAAACCTTACTTAGTACCAGTAATAACACGCTACTACGAATAAGATGACAAAATTAAATTATCAGAACACTAGATGGCGCCACATTATTATCAAAAGCTTAAATTGTAATGGCTCACATTTAACTACCTCGTAGAACAGAAAAAGAATTTAAACCTAATACAGAAAGTATACATATTATCGAAACAAAATACACAAAGATATAAAAATTATATGACGTTTATAATTTTAGTTCAACGTTTTCCAAGTTTACCATCATTTCGCACTAATAAAATTAATACATCTCATCCGTCAGTAGATCGGAAATTAAATATATATCGATTACAAACCAATACGTAGATTTACGGACATCATTTCTGGTGGTAATTGACACACAAAAAATTCAGTTTACTGACGATCATCATTATTTTTTTTCCCTTAACGAATCACATCATAGAGAAAATCGTATTTAATGAAACTCCATACCATTCCGAGGAAGGTAGTCTACACGTTATCAGTAGAAGATGAGAACAGTTTAATAATACCTATACATCAGTGT